GTGCCGCTAGGTGCAGCGCAAGCTTTCTGAGCATCTGCTGATGGAACTCCTGATCGTGAGCACCTAAGCGTCGCTCGCGGCCTTTGCCCTCGCCCAAGGAAACAGTCTCCAGCAAGCCATGCACGATGTACGAGGGTACGCAAACACAGTGCGAAGAGCTTTCAGTCAGATCCTCCATGTACTCCTTAGACCAGCAAACAGATTGCCGGATTACAGTTCGTCCACATGCTAACAACTCCACAGTCGTTCCATGGCAGCATCCAACAAATGCCCAGGCTCCATGTGTGGAGGCGGTTGAGGCGGCTGATGCTTTCCCGTCCAGACAGGCATGCCATGCTCTTCTGGCGTAGCGCAGAAGCTGCGTGGCGTGTCGGGAGCATCCGAGGCCTGTGCTGTGTTTGTCTGCGGAAAGGACGCGAATGGCGAATAATGGCGAATGGATCTCACACAGACAGTGCCTCGTCCTGCTTGTCGACATGCTTGAAGAAATTCGCGCACTCGCCTGAACCACTCGTGGGGAAACTCCGCATAAAGCAAAGGACAACTGCACATGAGCAATGCCGGACAAGGCGCAGAAGTGGCTAATGCATTCGGGCGAGTGCTCTTCCTGTCTCTCGAGCTTTTCTGGCTCCTGTGGACTGCAAGATGTTTGAAACAGACCCAGTTCCGCTCTGCAACGCCCGAACAGACGCCAAGAGCCCCGTCCTCGAGCATGTGCTGTTCTTGCACAGTCGCGTGTGAATCAGCCTCGGCGTCTGGCTGCGCTGCCAGATGCAGCGCAAGCTTCCGCAGCATATCTTGATGAAATTCTTGCCTCGGGTTCGAACGGACACCGCCCGCGTCTCTAGCAACCAATGAGAGAACAAGCTTGCGGAAGTCTTATCTGCACGTTCTGCGCCAAGCAGCTCATCGGGTGCTAGGGAGCTTTTTCCTTCGTGGCGCTTCGAGCTGGACTCCATGCCCTTCATGCCCCTTCCCTTCGAAGGGTCCATTTGGCTTTGACAAGGCTTCAAGGTAATATCGGCCATGGCCACCGTGTCCTGCCATGGCACCATGTCCACGAGCCCGTAAGCAATGTAGCTAGGAATCCAGACGTAGTTGGAGGCCCAGGACTGCCAGGCATCGTTCTGATTCTGTAACTTTCCATCAGAGCCTGTCTGGGACCACACTGGGCCCAGAGGCTCCGTCGCGATGAACATGTACGCGTTGTTGGACATGGCGCAAGTCGCTAGCGTGCGAGCCTGGCACGCCCCCTGTGTCCAGCTTCTGACCTGAAAACTGTGAAGTCAGACTCGGAGAGCTCACGGCCAAGAAAGGCCCCGGCTCCTCAGGAAATTTCAAGAAACAAATCTTAAGAACACGTGGGACCAAAGCCAGATGCAGTCCTCCCACGTGCGCTGAACACAGGTTCTGGAAGCGATTTTCGAGCCCAAAGACGAGGCAGACACCAAGGAAACTGGGGAACTAAGGATTGGCTCGGGGGGCGCCCAGAATCAGGCATGCTGAAACGCTGACACATGCTGCATTGCTGCTGCAGCCTGCCTCTCATGCCAATGCTCCACTTCAGAGCGTGCGACGTAGAGCCTCGGGGGGTCAAAAAGGGACACCCGCACTCTCTCCGGTTTCGTCTAGCTCCCTCACATGGAAGTAGCCCCCGAGAGTCAGGCGGAATCTTTGCAGCGACCGCCTCAAAGAACTGGGTGTCCAGGCCGGCCGGTGAGGACTGCCCGCAGTCGTGATAAAAAGCGACCAAGCACGGAGACTACGCCTTCGGTGAACCCGCTTCTAGCTGCAGGACGCTTGCGGGTGTAAACCTAAAGCCATGTTATCTCCGTCCGTCTACGGATATGCATCGATACCAGGTCAGCCACGTGCTGGAGACAAAAAGCTGCAAAGAAAGAGGGGTCTCCAGAATTGGGGACCCTCGCCCGGTCCTTCAAACTGTCGTTGATCTCCACCTCTTGGCGCAAGCAAGCGATTCAGCAAGCGCTGGCCACGGCACAAGCAAGACACTCACCTGCCACTGGGCCCTGCGCTAGCATGTCACCCAACTCACGCTTGGATTTTGCACAAAGGAGATCATGGATCTCGTTGACGACGCCTGGACTGGGGCGCACTGTGAGCCGCTCTCTTGCGATGCATCTGTGCGGAGATGCAGTGTAGCCCTATGGAAAATAATACTTAAATAGGTTCAAACACCTGCATAGAAGCGAGCAAAGATACTCCGACCGAAACTCCTCCCTCTGCAGGCTCTGAGGCCCTCTTAGGTCCTCTGCGGGGCCTTCGGCAACTCCTGGGCCGAGGCCGCTGATGGCGGAACCGGCCTTCGAGCGACCCGCCTGGAACCATCGGCCGCGAGGACTCGAAAGGGGCCCGGAAGTTTCGGGGGGGGGAGTTCAATTTCAAAAAGGGAAAAGCAACGCCCAAAGTTCACTAGAAGAGGGTCCCCGCTCTTTTTCTCATCTGTCCCCTGCTGCAAGTCCCGATTTTGAAGCTCAAGCCTTCTCGCGCCGCTTGCTTTCGTAGGCGTCGGTCGCTACATATCTCATGGCCTCGGAGCCAGAATCCAGGGCAAAGGCCGTGCATCACAAACCCGACCCCGCGCCTGCCAGAACTCCTTGTGCTGCGAATCGATCCTGACGAAGGTTGCTATTTCATCGAGGGTCTCCTCCACCTGGCAGCTCTGGTGACTCTGGAGCTATCAGCGAGCAGCTGAAGGCAACTGCTGAGCCTGGGAACGGAACTGTGCGATGTTCACATCAAGATGCGAACGTGACCATGCTTAAGGCACTTACGAGCGAGACAGAGAAAAAACTGTATCAAAACCACTGCCTCGTCAACGCTCATGTTCACAAAGAGCTGATGTGGAGGTTTGTCAAGGATTGTCATATCCTGCCGCTGGAAGTTGCTGCAGAATCTGCTCATCGAACCCGACTCGAGCAGTGGCTGCATCCTGGCCTCGAACTTCTCATCCTCGGCAATGGAAAGTGCCTTTGCCACGAGGTCCAGAGGCCTTCGCAACTTCGAGGGCTGATGCTTCTCAAGTCACACTGGTCAAGACTCGTCAGAAAGCAGCATTTCGTAAGCCAACACAATGGAGCAACTTCGGGAAAGCAGCAGCCCCCGGGCTCAGCCTTTCGCGTCCCTGGTCTATTCGCAGCGTTGTTCGTGCCTGTCCGCTCGGCAGAAGCAGAACGGAGCACAGCAGCGAAACGGTCTCCAAGCAGAAAGCGCCAAGGTCTGAGATCCCTGAACCCGAAACCCGACCTTGGCATTGTCCAAGTGAAACTTCTCCTCCTTGGTCAGCCATTCGCCATACTCTTCGTCGTGGAGCTCCTGAGAAACCGCTTGGCTGCTTGGCACTGATAGCAGAATGCGGTTCTTACGGCTTTACTATCTCCGCTCCTGCAGAGCCGTAGTGCGTTCAATAGATTCTGTCTCGGTTCTTTTCGGATCAGCGGTTTCATACTGTCCACTAAGGTGGCAGGGTGGACATCTCTTGCTTTGGTAGCACTGCAGGAACTGTCTGGCATCTGAAATTGTCAGGGGCTCTCTCAACTATTCTCGCACGGATTGCCCTATACCTGGGCAATATCTGCAGTTGGATCATCTGGGGTGCTCCACATGCTTATTCAGCGCAATTAACAATGACGGGGACGGCAAGAATGGCAAGATTACTTGATCTTATCCACATCATAATCACGGCCACCATCAACATCTCTATCACCGTCGTCAGCGTCACTATAACACAGAATTGTGCCACAACAACGCCTTGTCGTGCTCCAGCCGCTGTTGCTCCAAAAGCTGCCTCTCAACTTCACGCTCATCTCGGCGTTTCTTCACCTGGCTGTCTGGCAAAGGCAGCACCGGCTACAAGCGGCACGGGCTCAGCTGTGATTCTGCCTGCTGAATCTCGCGAATCTTCGCATGCATCTTCTGCATCTGCTGATCTTTCGTTGAGGGCCTGTACAAGCCTTGCATCGACCGAGAACATTTACGTAGCTGCTCGAACCGTGCTCCAAGACTTCGCGCGAAACTTCAGTCTGTGCAACATGTACAGCCGCACGTTGCGGCTGTGATCTTCTAGGGCCACGGCCAGCTGCCTGAAGATACTCATTCTTCTTCTTCCAGGTGAACTTCTCCGTCAGCGTTGAATCGCCAAACCTGGTGCCCCGGCGCAAGTTTTTGACACAGGCAGAGTGGAAGATGCTTTTGCATGCCTACCTAAGCTCCGGGTGCTGGTTAGAATCTAGAGGGATTCTAGCAACGGATTCTTGCGCATCCAAGCGATGCTGCACTTCTCGTGAGCTCTCGACGGATTGCTCTCATCCTGATATCCGAGCTCCTTCAACGCCGGGACTGCCACTGGAAGCCGACACATCAGCACGGTGGTTTTGATGTCTTGGCTGCTGCCGATGCAGTGAGCGGAGCGGCCGTCAGTGTCCTTCTGGAACAGCTCTTTTCGCTTCTTCTTGACCTCCGGCAAGACCCGTCGGCAAGACTGAATAGCCAGCGCAACGAACACTTGAAAGGAGCAACATCAGGCAGGCACATTGGCGGCTCCGGCTGCCCTGGAGGCGACCTTGAACTCGCGGCAGGTGTGGTGGACACCCCAGGATCCCGTGTTCGCATCAAGGGCCAAACTGGACTGCGGCTTCGATCGAAGGACATCCTGGTTTCAGAGAATCTAGCGTAGATTCAGTCGTTCACGGCACCGGGATGCCGACTACACCTCGGAACCGACCGTGCCTTGGGCAGCGCTGCCCTCCGGGGCGCCAAGGGACCTAACACTCGACCTGGTGCCCCTAGCAGCTCCCACTACTCATCATCCGGAGACATGCTGCGGGAAGATCAAGGCAAACAGTCGCGCAACAGTTGTAGACCGCTTTTGAGCTCTGATTCCTGGACCTGTGTACATGTCCTACGTATTTGTAGGCAGCAAGTGGAGGCGACTTCCAAGTCTCTCGCCAAGCCTATCATAAATGCACTCGGGCCCATGCAGACCAGGCGGGCGAACAAGGCTTTGCTCATGTTGGTTGAGGCCTCGAGTGCCAGCAGGGATGCTTGCAATGCTCGGCGCTGCTAATTGCGATCTGGAAAGCTGCAGAACGCTACGATAGAGGTGCTAGCGCTCTGCTGACAGATCCAACGCAGCAAGCTAGGCATCACTCGCATTCCTGCGGAAGCCGGTTGAAGTAGTTGACCATTCGCCTTGCGATCACAACTGCACTGGCTCTGACTTCTGACTAATCGAGCTGACCATTCAAACGCCGTTATTGGCCACTCTGGGAATTCCGAGGCTCAAGGCGGGTGCAGGAAGACGTCGATGTAGTCGAAGCGCACACGATGCCTCGCTTGCTGACTGCTATGCTCTGTGATGCAGCGGGCCGCAAGTCTTATACCGACAGGCGTGCAAAGCCCAGGCATGCGGCATGGCATGCGGAGCTTCCGACTTCATCTCGTTCACGACGTGTCGCCTTATCCCATGCAATTTTTGGATGTCCTTGGCCTGTTCTGTTTTCAACTGGCACCCCATTTTAGCAGACGCTCCCTCCAACTTCACAAGCAGATCGTAGTGGGAAGAGACTCAGGGAAGCTCCAGTCTCGGATCCTTAAACCACAGCAAAGAGGTTCGCAAGATGACCTGATGCAAAGCAAAGTCCTGAGGTTCCTGCCCTGCTTGATCCCCAAATACGAAGATCCGTAAGGGCCTTGCTCGCAATTGCTCGGAAGCATTGCGCAGGTAGTTCTAGTCTGTCGCCCTTCGCGGATGAGGTTCTCGGCTCCCAGTTTCGGTGTGACCCCGCTTTCGAGATCAACTTTCTACTCTTCCCAACATGGCTACCCCATCCTCCTGAAAGTTCGTTCGAATCATCTGCCGGACTCCACATGCACGAAAATGGGTAAGGGTGGGGGGTGCGCTAGAGCTTTCAGGGCTGCTGTATGAAACAGAAAGGCACGCGGAGGTGTCCCCGAGGACGACATACTCTGCATCGCCCTGTCCTCCCCCCGCTACGAGAAGACCTTGAGGCGGATACGTTGTACGGTGCTTCAAGATGCTCCAGAAGGTGACGACCTTTCTTGTTTGAAGGAGGGGGGGAGCATTGCATCCGATTGCACACGGCACAGTCTGCTAAGTTCTGGGCACCAACAGAGGCCCACTTCCCAACAACATTCACCTCGGAGACAGCCGTGATCTGGCCGGAAAACGAAGAGCTTAATGATACCCATGAGCCTTGGCAGCCTTGGCATCTGCACATGCTACCCAGCATCGCTCGGCAGTTTGCGACGACAGCATCCGAGGCCGAGGCAACCAGGACAACCTGTCAGAGTGGCAGGCCCGTAAGTTAGTAGGTATGCAGATCGGCACCCACCGTCATGTCGGGACTTTGTGCGTGAGCCACTCGTCAAATGCGTGACCGAAAACTGACTTCTCGCACGATGCCAACTGAAACAATTTCGAAGCACGCAGGAGGTTGAGAATGGACAGCCTCGGGGCTCCCTTGCTGAGGGCTGTAATAGCAAGACGACAAAACAGCTAGAATTCGAGCGCTCATCGCTTGCTACCTCAACTGCAGAAGGAGAAGACAACAGTTCATGTAATACCCTGGGGAAGGAACCTCGGGTGAGTTGTCGAGGGCCGGCCACACCTGCTGTGCAGTTCCGTGTAGCTCTTGTCAGTACTGTTGAAGCTTTCCAGCGGCTTATCTACCTGTCCAGGAGATGGAGATCTGTGGACGAAAGGCAGCCAGTCAATCAGAGAACTGGAGGTCCCTGTCGCCTCGGGCAATACTGAGCTGGCCGCGATCTTGTCGTACAGAAGCCTGTCCCAAATCTTCACCACTGCATCGTCTGAAAACGGCCACTCCACCCAGGAATTCGGCTTTTGGAAATTTCTGGCAATTCATTAAAGCCATCCATCGTGAATGCTAACCACAAGTTGCCTTCAAGCCACGACTCCAGGTGGTGGACCCAAGGCAAGCACAGAAGTCCCCGTCTGTTTTCGGCCGAGCCTGTCAGAGGCATCCTGGATGGCCTCGTACAGTTGCATCCTTGGCACGGCACCGAAACAGGTTCGACTCGCACACTCGACACAGCCAGGCAACGACCACCTCACACACACACACACACATGTGCAGTTACACGCCTGGAGACAGGCACATGCACCCCGCGCATGAACACACAAAGTCAACGAGCCGAATCAAATTGCTGGTACCTAGGATCTAGGTCACTCCTGAGTGCACTCTGGTGCAAACCGGATGTTGAGAGTCTGCTCAGCAGCAACGAAGCCGAAAGACCACTACACAGGACTGCACAACTCAGCATGCCAAAGTGGACAGGAGGGCCACGAAAGCTAGAGGAAGGAAGCATAGTAGGGAAAGAGTGGGGCTACTCGTCAAGCGGATCTATTGCCGTACACCTCTGCGAGTCGAGCACAGCGGAAGCTTGGCGTCATTATATACACTGTTCTGGCGTCCTAGGTGTGATGGCATGTTCGGGTTGGTGACTGCAGAGATCTGCAAAACCTCAGTTGATTTAATCGAGTTGGCTCGCCTCCACCAGTAGCAACAAAAATTGAGCCGTGCGTTCTGAACTCAGGGCAGGTCGTGGGTGCGAAGAGTGGACGCACACTCTCGATGTCTGTCTCGACAGCCTAAGTGGGACTGCGGCCTAATTCCGGCAATGCGACGGCATGGGGGCAAACGTGCCGGGACGAGCAGTGCAAAGCTGAGCGAGATGCCGACCGACCGGTGGCCTGGCGGAACGATTCGAACGGGCCGAGTGCCGGGGGATCGGAGACTGGTGAAATCGTTTCGACTGTAGAAAGCCGCCTTCTCGCTGAACAGGTTGAGACAAGCTGCTCACAATGCTCTTCAAGAGAACATTCAGAAAAGTGCCAGGGCCGTTCCAACACTAAGATCAATTCTAGATCAACGAAACACGTACAAATCAGCCTATCACTGTTCGAACACCCTGCTAATTTGCTTCACATCAACTGTGGCCTGCCTGGGCGTGGTGGTACCACAAAACTTGAAAAAAGTTCTCACAGAAGTGGGCGGCGTGGTTTAGGTCCTGACCACAGGGATATGAAGTCTGCCAGCTTTGATCGTACATCCAGTTTCTGGGACTCCCATCACAAGTCCTTCATGATCGCCAGCCGTTTCTTCATGAAGCCTGCAGCCGTGGCACTTGTTCTGTTGATACACAGGATTTCACCGATACTGCCATACTGCTACAGCTACCGCTACAGTTACTGCGACAGCTACTGCACTGCTACTGCAAGTACGGCGCTACTACTACTACTACTACTAC